AATGGGTGACTATAAAATGCAAGAGAGAAAATACATTTTATAGAATGTATCGATCCGCCAGCCAAGTATATTAGAAATGAATGTGCCCCGGGTTCAGGTTCTGCAGAACGAAAATTGAGCAAACCTGAAAATACCAACCGAAATTTGGTGGCATTTTAAACCAAATTATTTAATACACGTTGCGCTTCAAAATGTAACGCTTATGTTTTTGTAATGTTTTTCGGTTGTGTTGACAGTGGTGGTGATGGCAGTGGTGGTTGTGGGGCGACAGCATCGCATGAAGTCTGACTACTTGAACGCCAAAAAGTTTTGTATTGAGACATCGCGCGAAGACACAAACTTTTTTTACTTAAGAAACACACAGACGAATACAAAATATCGTTCAAGTCTCTGGGGGATTTTAATCATTGTTATTGCTTTGTTGGTGTGCAGCTTAGTTTTATTATTAATCTTATGCTGACACGCTTGGTTGACTATTGCCAAGCGGAAGCAGGTTGCGCGCGCTCTCTCTCTCTCTCTGTCTCTGGTTTCCATCTCTTTCGCGACAATATTATTAGGTTTTCGATAAATAGCGTACTGGAAATTGTGTGACATTCCGCATCCACAGAACATTAGATAACCATACTAATGAGCTCAGATACACTTTTCATGTGTATACTCGTAAATGGAAATAAATGCAAATGATGGCATAAATTTCCGGCGATGTTCTGTGTTCGATTTACTCTCATTCACTCTGTTCAAACAAATCTCGGCAAAACAAAAATAGCACGCTGCAACCAGCCAACTCCACCTTTTGGAGCCACGAGGCGAGAGTGGAATAAAGTGTTTTTTTTCTGTTTCGAGCTTTTTTAAGCATTCACCAAACAAAATTCATCACATTCGTTCGTTTGTTTGAGCTGATTGAGAACGAACGCGATGAAAAGCTCATCTAAATCCGCTCAATATCCGATTTCGTGAATAGAAATCGATTTGAATCGAATTCAATAATAGGCACACGAAGGGAAAAAACAGACACACACATATATAGAAACTTTATTGCAACGCATTCTGAAATGAATAGCACTCATTTGATACCAGCATAATAAATTCACATCAATCGAATGATTTTTTCTGCTGCTGTGTTGGATTTCTCGACAAAAAAATCTCCTCGCATTAGTTGTTGTCATTTTTTGGTGTGTGTGCACAAATTATTCTCACTCTCTGTCTCCTTTTCAATAAAAAAATGTTTTCTCTCTCAGTTTTTATGATGGAAATAATTTTCTCTTTAACGATAAAAGCGAACGGAGTGAACGAGATGAAAAAAAGAACTAATGCGTAAATTATTTGTTACAATGGGGAGTTTTTTTGGGGTCCAAATAACTCGTATACCGTTTCCCGTTTTTTTCTTTTGCTTTCGATTCTTTCGGATGTTGCTTTGTCATCGATTGAATATTGCTCTACATTTGCACCTTCAACGAACAAATTGATTTTTCTTTCTCCCGATTCTTATTGTTAGTCAACAAAAGCAACCTCATCATTAGACTCACAATTTTTGTGAAGTGCTGATCGAATCAGCGAAAACGACTCGAAAAATGTCGTATTGTTATTTATTTCACATTCCAAGTGTGGCATTTGCTATGAATGAAACTATATGAGTGCCACTCTAGACTCTGGTAATGTGGTCGTTTCGCACGTAGACAGGCACAAAGATGCGAGAGACTCTCAAGTGTCCATTCGTTTGCTCGATGAATTTGAAACGACACGATAAAAATGTGCGTGAATAATATTTATGTGTTACTCGGAGACGCGTATAACGGTCTGCACTTCGACATCTTGTGCAGTCATAATAAAACGGTTTCGCATCAGGTCGACGCTGTTAGCCGTCAACAAAATGTTCCCATATTGAATCAAATATTCAAAGCATCGAATCCATAAAAGTAATACTTAGTACAAAGAAAAGCTTTTGTAATATTACAAGTCAAATAAAATGCAATCAAAAATGAAAGGTAGTAAGAATGAATAAAAAGTGCGGTGAACGAAAAACACAAAGGATCAAAATTATATTATGAAAAAAAAAGATTCAAAGTTTCGACCAAAGCAAATTGAGCAAGAGGTAAATGTAAAATGAAAAACGAAGAAAATCACAGTTGAGGCTCAAGAAAATTGTTTCCCATCGACTTTAATGTGTGCTCCTAAATGTTTTTCTTTCTTGAGTTTTGATTACAGGATGAAAAGTTATCAAATATCGTATAATAGAGAAAACATGCGGCGACAGCAACGGCAACGACGAATACGTGTAGAAATACGAACAAGTCAAAAGGCAAAAAGATTTGTTCATTTCTTGTTTCGATTTTTGGTTTTTTCCAATAGTTCTGTTATTTAGGATAAAAATGGAAAAACTATAAAACTGGCATACGCACATGCTGCAAATGATTTGTGAAGCAATGTGAACGCCACCGCTACCGCCGCCGCCGTTGTCGTTGGAATCTTTGTCATTGTCGTCGTCATCGAGTGGATAAAGCTAAAGTATGCACTAAACGAAGGAAAAGAAGTTCGATAATACTGGGAGAGTGGAAAAAAATGTTCATTTATTTTATTTTTATGGTTCACATTGCCCTATGCCACATTCTTTTAGTTTTTGCAGATGTGGTGTTTTTTTTTATTTTCAAGTTTTCGAGCATTGTTTGTGTTTTATCAGCTTTTTTTTTGCCTCCTTGCTATGTGTACTTGCTGTGAGGCAACTGTTAGAAGGGCAGTTGAATAACACGCCAACTCACAAACACACAAAATTGAGAAAAAAAAGAGAAGAGAAGAACGAAACGTTGGACCGAAAAGTAGGACGACGACTCATAAAAATATTATTGAGATTTGCATGACGCGGTGGCTTAAAAAATATTCTATCGACAAATGCTCCATTGACATCAGACACTTTAAGTATAGATATACCATTTTTAGAATCGAAGTAACTTTCTTTTTCTCGATGTGTTTGAGACCGAGAAAAAAAATCAGCGAAAAATTATGAATTTGAAAAGAACGAAGAAAACAACAACAACTAGATGGTATACATAAATTGTCGAAACGAAAGATCACATCAACAATATGTAACAGCTGAAGCTTTGACAGATATTTTGTAAGTGAAATGCGTTTTCGATGGGGGTGAGCATTGAACAAAACAGTGTTCGAATCATGAATGTGTATGTTCTTTTTTTATTTGACGTCTCTTTCATTTTTATTTAGTAACTGTCGCACTGTCGAACCAATAATGATATTCAACGATAATATTTTGCATGGAATTGTGAGCGCTTTCTTTCGGTTGTTCGCCAAAAAATTCCATGGCTTTGGCAAAAATAGCAGTGGCAGCAACAGAGAAATAAGAAGAGGAAGAAGATATCGTCGATATTAATAGCAAAGAGTATTCAAGATATGAGCACATCACTGCCGACGACGTCATTGGCCAATGTGTGGAGACGAATACGATTGATATATGTATATATGTGAATGTGGCTACCACATATATATAGACATAGGCAACATCAATATTATACAAAGATGACTTGAACCGAATTGAGATAGAAAGCGACCAAGAATTCAGTAGCAGCAAAAACCGAGTGAAAAAGAGCAAAAAGAACACACACACACAAAAAGCACACTCACATATGGAGAGAGACAAAAACGAGAAATATTCTAATCAATTGAATTGATTATAATGTTGTTGTTGCCAATTTCATTTCATTCTTCGGGATGGACTCTTAAAGTTGTTATGCTAGTGAATAACTAGCAGAAGCAGAAGCAGCAGCAGCAGCAGTAGCAATGGCATTTTGGTCTATCCGTGTTTTCTATCCCATACGATATCGTACGCGCGGGAATGGATGTGGTTGGAATCGATTTGTTAGGTTCTACATGTTATATGCGTGTGTCTACATGTAGCATAACATATACATTTTGTGTGTATGACCCGATATATGTTTACATTTCGCACATCTCAACTATAGCTTTGATTCGCACAGCTTTTTTTGCTGTGCTGATAAGGGCTGGAAACGGGGTCGGGGAATAAGAAAATAGAATTCTTTTTTCTGAAACGAAACACACAATTTAGAGGAGAAGAATTCGTTTAAAATAAATTGAGACAATTCATTAAGTTCAAAACCATACTAAAAAAATCGGGAGATAGATATTGTCTGCATCATTTTCCCTTATTTTTTGGTCGTTTTTGTTGTGGTATCTTTTTGTCGTTTGCTTTACGTATCCAACATTATTTTTGATGGGGTTTTATTCTACTATATATGTGTGTGTGTGTGTGCATTTTATGCAACAAATAGAGTTAAATTTACAGCATTTTAGAATAAATCGGAATGATTTTATGTTACATTTGACGGTTATTCCTTTTTTCTCTATTTTTTCGACTTTTGCTCAAGATATGGTTTTTATTCTTTTTCTTCTCTCTCTCTCTCTCTCTCTCTCTCTCTCTCTCTCTTCTCTCTCTCTCTTATTCTCTTTCATGCCCCGAACACATTTATCGCAGTTCATCGCGCGTTAATATGGTTTTCGTCGTTTTTTTTCTCCCTCTCGCAACAATTTCTGTATATGACAGAGGAATTATTAAAGATTTGCATTTGAATAAGCAAAATAAGAAAAAGGCATGTAGGAGTGAAGCTTTTTGTATTTTTTTGAGAGAAATTCACATGGAATTGATTTGCGATTTGAGAGAACTATTGAAGATTTCTTCGGTGACTGTGATAATTCATATTTTAAATTGATAAAATTCCATATCAATCATGATGACTTTCAATAGCATCCATTTACTTGGTAAAATCCAATCGATGCACAAATCAAACATGAACAGAAAAAAATCACAGACATCGATTCGCCATTCATTTTTTCCATAAAAAAATCTTGAAGAAAGCATAAGTAAGAAAAGAAGATGTATCTCTTACTTTTCAAAATATTAGTCATACATTTACCGTATGCTAAATGGCCAAAGGTAGATAATTTGTGTTTCTGAAAACGGTCATTACACTTACATGGCAAAACAGAAAAAAGCCCCTTACAACAGTTGTATGGAAATCGTCCAAACTTTCACTAGAAAAGTACACAATAAAACCACAAAATCACCACAATTTTTTTTTCACTTTCTCCTCACTTTTAATATTCCACTTTTCGGTTCACGTTTTTTCTGATTTAAATTAGTTTACCCAAAAAGTTTTTGACACACAATTCGTTTGAGGCGATTTTCTTTTGCGATATTCTTTATTTCAGACTTTCTTTTCGTCGTTTGTCTATCAATAGAGCTTCACTAAACAACAGCACGCAAATCACAAATCGAGAATAAAGTTGATATTGGTAAAATGTGAATTCACAAATCAGCAAAGATGTGGACCGTTCACATGAAAATCTCTCGCAATACTGAATTAAATACGGTGGATGGATGAGGCTGTAGCGTTCGTTCATATCCATGGAAATGTGAGAAAATTCACATTGGAATGCTGCCACAAGAAATTGGAACGACACTGGATTGAACGGCGCGACAAGAATATGGAAAATTTATCAAAGGATGCGCGCGTTCTCTGTTTATAACCAACACCAACGAAACGTGTGTTGCTGATAACATGGTGCCACTTGGTATGAAAGCCGAATACATTTCGAAAAGAGAAGAAAACATTTATTAAAAAAAAAACTGTTCGGTTTTCCATGTGCTTGTATTTGTGTGTGAGTGTCTCGTATTCTCACAAATCGTTGGAAACTGTCAACAAAACCCACACCAAACCAACGTTACATCTCAATTTCAAAGCAGACACATTTCAGACTTGCACAAATGTATTCTCTTGTTAAGAAAAGAATATAGGTGATTGTGTCGCTTTACAACATACAAAATCGCATGATTTTCATGCTCGCCGAAGAAACATGAAACGTAATCCACCTACAACAGTGTACCGTGTCAGTAAAAAACCAATTGCGGCTCCAATTAAACATGAATTAAGAGATTGAAGCAATTAACAGACGAAATTACTTTGATTTTTTGAGCATGCTCAATTATTTTTTCATCCCCGTTAATTTCGTTCGAAAAAAAGAAACTCTTGTGCTCTTTGTTGATATAGAATCACATTTTTGCGAGAAAAAATTGCAGTTTATAGCGTTGAAAATGTTCGTCATTACGTCGCACTTGAAATTACAGCACTCAACAATATCGCTCACATAATGCAAAAGTGTATTTTCGTTCAAATGCCATTTAACACCCAATGCCATTAACTACGGTCATTTCACTTAATGTGATTCTTCATCAAAAATACTCTTTCGCAATGGAATTAGTGGACGGCTCACATTTTTTTTCTTTGACCAGACAATATATTGAACCAACTGGTCAGTTGAGCTGACAGTACGTTAGCCAGCTAAATGGACTAAAACAATAGAAGTTATTGTTATAATGAACAATCACTTCTATTAAATCAAGAGAAGTGATTCATCATTAAAACAATAACGTATATTGTTTTAACCCATTTAGCTGGCTAACGTACTGTCAGCTCAACTGACCAGTTAGTTCAATATATTGTCTGTCTTTGACCAAACGTATTTAATATGAAACATTAATAAAACAAACTGATTTATATTTTGAGACAAATGCATTACGTATTATTAATCGATGTATAGTCTCCATTCTCTTCAATACACTTTTTTGCGCGCTCAAGTAATTCATCAAGCGACCGGGAAATAACCTCGGTTGAAATCGATTTTAGTACGTCGGTTCAAACCACAAAACCGGTTCAATTGAGTAATGCGTTCAATGCGTTCAATTGAGTAATTATGGTTTTTTATTTTTTAGTCTATCGAATAGAAAAAATGCAGTAATACATTACAATTGCAATGAAGCATTACAGTAATACAGTAATGTGCGAGCTATATTTTACAGGGGGGGCTGATTTTTCAAAAACTAAAAATTCTCTCATCTGAACAACAAATTTCGTTTTTTTTTTTTTTTTTT